TGACAAGGCCGAAAAATCGACCCCTTCTGTTGAGGATACACCTTCGGAAACTTCAGTGTGCCTTCAAAACACATTCCCTTCAAATGAGTGAAAGAGGAGCTCGGCTATCTCTGATCGATTTGGTCCGTGCGCCGTGCATTAGGCTCCTACGCAGAGGTGGTGGAAAGGTGTAAATTCTAATTTCAGGTGCTTTTATCCATGCAAGCAGATGTTTGTTTAGGGTTTGGAAAGGACAATACGCACGAATCTGTTTGAGACGTATTAGTCATCTACGTACTTACGAGTTCATGCTATTAACGATATTTATTTATTTACTTATTCATTTATTCTTGCTATTCTTGCTAATAAAAACAAATAAATAAATAAATCTTTCACTATTTTGTAGTCCTCCTTACATCCGGGTCTTCTGCAGCTTTCCGTCCGTTCCATCAAACTTAGCAATGACACTTTTGTACTGTTTGATGCCTAGCGAGCCTACTTTTGCGATACTCCCCACGTCCCCCGCGGCCAAGTACGAACCCATTTTGGGGATTTCCCATGAAAAGAGGGCTGTTAAACGTAGCAGTTAAATCTGTAAAGAATACACTCATAATAATTTTCATTTTTTAACATCTTGACTTCCATAGCTCCACTCCCACTATCAACTGAAATGTCGAAGCATTGCCCGGCTCTGAGTGACCTTGAGATTACGACCTCCCCAGCGGCCAAGTACGACCCCCCTATGGGTTTCGCACAACGATGCTGTACCCTGTGCGCTACTTGTTTGTGCCTTCTCACTTTGGCTGTTCTCGACCGCTGAGCACGAGATTCGCTGTGAGATCAAGTGCCGCACCATGAGAATGCAGCCGCTCCCGTGCGCTTTTTGGCGGAGAAGGGACTCTACATCAGTAGCGGGCTCATTCGCTTCGCACATAGCGAGGACCGTGATCTGGAACCGAATAAAGAATTTTGGAACAGGCGGCCGCTGTGGGCTGGACATGTCCTTGTCCAGAAGCCGTCTATTTGAAAAATTCTTTATTCCATTCCAGAAAAGCCGAATGTGGGATACGATACGCAACCAGATGGCGAACGAAATGAGGAAACAACATCCACACTGGGCGAGGCGTGCTATACACTATTTGCACCCGCACTCGCTCTAATTATCTAAAAGGTTTGCGTACCTATGCTGAGGGGCTGGAACCAGCTGTACAGCAGGGAAAGTCTACTCTACGGCCTGAACTCTTCAACACATCAAAGCGTTCTCAACAATTTGCAAAGGGGGTGGTATATAGAAAACTCAGACAACCGCCTACTGAGGGTGGTAAAACGGTAAGAAATGGAAATTTCGAGAAAAAAACCTTTTGGTGAAATGGCCACCGGCCCTCTCTGTAAGTCTGGCGCAGCCGGATAAATCCGATGACCCATCAAAGTCCAATATATTTCGATATATAGCAAAGAGTTCCCTATCAAACTCTGTGGAAAACATCATCGACACCTTTCATCTCTTACGCAGCATTTTAAATCAGAAGATAGCCATTGCTTTTGGATCAACCCAATGTACTGATCACTGGATCACAAACCCTACCGAGAATATGTAGTTCGCTTTGGGAACGGAGTGATGAGTCACCTTCTTCAGGGCAACTGGATATAACGTGACGTACAGTCGTCATCCGGGCAGTTGATATGGCGGCAGACGCGGCTGCGGAGCGTCACGACCGCTGCGATCAGCTGTTTCCAGCCTATTCAGCCATTTTCTCCTTGATTTCACTTTTCTTGAGGTTAGTTGTTCCTTGTCTTCACAAGGTAACTTTTGCGAACAATTAAGCAAACAGTTGAAGCAAACACCTAAAAAAAATCGCAAAAACACTTCATTACAAAAACAAAAAAAGAATCCACGTCCCAATATACTTCATAAAGACGAAAAACAACTTACCTTGGATAAAAGTGAATAGAGCTAAAATTAGGGAGAAAATGCAAATAGGCTGGAAGCAGCTGATCGCCGCGGTCGTGACGCGCCGCACCCGCGTCTGCGACCCTTTCACCGCCTAATCAACTGCCCTGATTACGACGATACTGGGAATACTCACCATCAGTACGTTTACATTGTCTATTTCCAAAATTAGTAGTGAGTTTCGCACTATGGTAATAGAAAACTTGTGTTGAGAAGACGCTAGTTATATTAGGAACGTTTATCAAACTATGCAAAACTACAGAGTTAGAATTAAATAAATTAATAAATTATTTCTGGAACCTCTTCGTTCTATGAAACGTCGCACTAACACAAGAATCAATAAATTATCGCTATGCTTCCGCTCTACAAAAATTAGCATTGGCACATGAAAAAAAGCATTTCAGTTACTTTTTCACAACTAATGAGTATCTGTTTGTCATAGCATGGATGACACTACGTTAAGTACATGCGAATCCTATGGCACCAAAAGACTATTAAAACGCTCCGAAGTTTGAAAAGTCCGCAAATCCTCCTGCTGAAGACGTTGCTACCGTGTCCGAAGCGAAGGGATCTCTGAAAAATTTACTCAAATGAACGGCTCCGGGATTTTATCAAAGCAAATGAATATTAGACAAAAAATTTTCGCTTACGTATTTGCAAATGGATCACCATTGACGGGAGTTTGACGAGCACTGGATTTCGGTGGTGCTGGGCGTGGTGGTGGATTTTTAACAGCTCCCATCGACGAACCAGGAGGCATAGCTGCGTTCTGAAATGATTGTAAAATCACCTTTCATTCTTTACCAGCTGTGCACCTATCAAGGGAAGGAGCGGCAAAAGTTTAGGTGATACGCCCTAATGTGACCATGGAGCTACAGGAAATGTTAAACCAGTGATACCTGATTAGTTACCCTGAGTTCATACTGCAGCCCACGTTTTCGGCGACTAGGCCGCGTACTTGAGATACGTATCACGTGGGATGACCACGCCAATCAACAAGGAATTCCGTGCTGTGGGTAAATCTTACATGATGTTTTCAGAACGAAATGCGGTCTCTAAGCATCCCCGCAAAGCTTAACATGCCAATCTGTTCGTACTCCACAAAACGACACATCGACAAATGGCCGCACCAATCAGCCATTGATCACCATCAGGTCGCTGTTTCCACACACAATCTGCGGCTAGTACTGCTTCCCTTCTTCGCAGCTCTTTTTGAGGAGGTAAGTCTCATTAGTAAACCAATCTTTGGCAGTGCGCAAGGTTTTTCTGCAAGCAGCGCCCGTTTTGGAGTTTTAGACTTGTTTTACTTTTTTGGCCTTTCTCCTGACGATTCCCGCACGTCTTCGACAGCCACTTCAGGAAAATGTCATCAATAAGACCCTTTTTCTGTTATGGATCCCTGTTGATACTGCCGCGACGTTCGTTACTGCTTGAAATAATGTGTTTTCGTATTTCCTGTGCAATCGCCGTAATTTTTCACATCGATATTTGACCACTGATATTATCTCAGACGTAGACTCCTACATTGGTTGGGACGGTTAATGAAGGCCCTATTTTGGGCGTTTTGAGCCATTTCGTCTTTCTGCCTTGCTGTCGTACTGCGAGGTCATCTGCTCCCGTTTTCTGCAGACAACGAAATCATCGTTCCCTTCTCCTTCAAGCCACTGACGGCTCTTTTTTCTAGAGTTTTCAAACGCGAACTGATAAGAATACACAGTTCTTATCAGTTCGCGTTTAAAAGTTGATCAGAATCAGGACTGAGGTGTAAAAGCTTCAGCTAGCATGGTCTCAAACCATCAAGTCATATAAATTCTGTCGATATTGACGTTCGCCTTAAGTTCGCTAATTGTTAACCAAATTGAAAAAGGAGTGTAACTGAAAAAATGATCGGAGCCTTTTGGACCACACTTACAAGTGTATTTCCGCATGAACTAATCTTTTCTTTTTAATAATAAGCAGTAGCGCTCTCAGGGACTTCATCAATTGAGAGACATGCTTTCACTATGTTGGAACGCGTCAATGTCTCAGAAACCAGGCGGAACACAATGGCAGCACACACTTCACACGTTAAACAGCATATAGCGCACTGGACTGACAAGGGAATGGTTTGAACTTCCCATGGAACTTTGAATGGAGACCTAGGTACATCGATAGAGCCTCGAATGCTGATTACGAATATGCAGATTAAAAGTGCTACGGGGACCTCCCAGACGAGATCTGGGTGGTCAAAGTTTGAGTTCTGGCTCGTAAGCGCTGCTGATCGATGCCTCGGCAGTGCCACCGTGGCCTCGTGGTAATGGTCTCGCTTTCAAGTCAAACGCATGCGGGTTTGCATCCGGTTGGCGCGAAAATTTTTGCTTCGCTCCGTATAAGAGCTTCAACTCTAATTTTCGAAATTCTTCCGAATTTACGGCCCAGCAGGGCAAGTAGATCAAGTACATCAAGTATACGACGTACTCGATCTAGTATGGATTTGGTCATATCTGCCCTCTCTGAACATATTACCCATCCGACAATTCAAAGTTTTGCCCAGAATCGCAATTTGGCCAGACGAGCGTTTTTTCGTCGAAGGATGTGATATTCGTGTTCAGGGGAAATCTCCCATGAACGAATTTCTCGCTAAAACTTTGAATTGTCGGATGGGTAATATGTTCAGAGAGGGCAGATATGACCACATCCATACTCGAGTCGTATACTTGATGTACTTGATCTACTTGCCCTGCTGGGCCGTAAATTCGGAAGAATTTCGAAAATTAGAGTTGAAGCTCTTATACGGAGCGAAGCAAAAATTTTCGCGCCAACCGGATGCAAACCCGCATGCGTTTGACTTGAAAGCGAGACCACGAGGCCACGGTGGCACTGCCGAGGCATCGATCAGCAGCGCTTACGAGCCAGAACTCAAACTTTGACCACCCAGATCTCGTCTGGGAGGTCCCCGTAGCACTTTTAATCTGCATATTCGTAATCAGCATTCGAGGCTCTATCGATGTACCTAGGTCTCCATTCAAAGTTCCATGGGAAGTTCAAACCATTCCCTTGTGAGTGGAAAGCGTTACGCAATACAAAGGGCTTACCGGATGAGCTCCTCCAACGGACGCTGTACCTCCGAATGGATCTTGTGGAAACTGAACAGCAAAGTTCCCTGAAACTGTTTTTCATTTTACATAGATTCGTATACATCAAACTGATTTCAGCACAGTTCGGCGACATGGGGTCATTTCACAATTACATTATTTCAGTTTCTCATTCTCGTCTTCACTGCTTCACAGCAGGCGTCCATACTTTGTGTCAGCGACCACCAGCGTCCACCAGCGTTCCGAGCTACGCCAACGTCGGCGACTAGGAAAGTGAAGATATCGGTTTAGCGAGCGCTAGCTCCTAGCAGCGTCCACTACCACCCACGAGCGCCCACCACCAACTAGGAAAGCATGGATATTGATCTATCCACCAGTGTCCCGAGGGACTAGGGAAGTATAGGTACCGATCTAGCGAACGTCGAGTCCACCAGCGTCTATGAGTGGAGAATATGACGAAGTAAGAGGGTAGCAGACAGCTGGATCAGGCTTCCCAAAAAACTGCGGCGTTTGCAACCGCCCCATACAACTCTTCTTCAACGCACATGAAAACTTCATAATTCTGTGCTCTAGCAATTTACGGGGCGGTTGCACCCGCCGCAATTTCAGGACGACTAATTCTGTCGCTACCCTCCTTCCTCATACTATCCAGTCTTGGACGCTAGTGGACGCTGGCAAACGTTGGTGGACGCTGACGCAAAGTATGAACGCAGCCTTGCAAGAATTGACGAGTAGTTTCTACAAACTTAGAGAGGTATCACTTCACAGCTTCACCTGATTCCAAAAACCACTCCTTGATGACTCGACTTAACAATGGGAAGCAGGTGAAGGGCAAAATGGCTTATCCCCTCCTCTTCCGTCACCGAACTCCGCCCTAATCTCTTGAAACAACTTTCTATAAGACGTTACCTGATGCGGCAGCAGCGGCAAAGGGGTCAGTCTGGGCGAAAGGGTCCACGTGTTGCATACTGCCTGAAGCGAAAAACTTTGAAAAAATGAAGCGCTCTAGCAAATATAAAAATCACTACTGACTAGTCTGAACACCGGTGAAAGGATCTGGGGGTTGATGGAGAGCATGGTTTGAAGTGGAAGCCACGGAAAAAGGGACATCGTTGAACTGAAAAAATAGAATAAAAACAAAACCAAAGATAGTACAGTGAATTTCA